GCAGGCTTCAAGTCCACCAAACTTCTACCCAGCTGCTCTTTATAAACAAGCAATTGTGAGTATTGATAGTCAGCTCGACTTAGAATATACCCTGGATGTGGATCCCAACAGAAACTACTCCATTTGGTTGCACTTTGCTGAGATTGATGCTTCGATCACTGGTGTAGGCCAAAGGGTATTTGATATCCTGATTAACGGTGACACTTTATTTAAAGATGTGGATGTTATCAAATTGAGTGGGGACCGTTATGCTGCTCTTGTACTTAACACAACTGTTGCCGTAAGCGGGAAGGACCTTAACCATAACTTTGCACCCTAAACAAGGTGGTGCCATAATCAATGCCATTGAGATCTTTGAGGTTATAATGGCCGAGTCAAAAACTTTATCAGATGAAGGTACATTTGTGCTACTCTTTGTTTATCTAAGTTTCGTTTCAACATTCTCTAGCGTCTCTACCAATATGTATATGTCATACACGAAAAAATAATGCTGATCATGTAGTATGCACACAATTAAATAATGCTTAATGATGTAGTTTTGCAAGTGTTACAGATGAACTATTTGATATTTCACAAATCAATTAATCTGTTTTTGTTTATCTAATGCTTTTGAAAACATCTTGACCACATGTTATCTGTTAGAGATTTTTTTTCAGTGCATCTTATTTGTATGTTGAAAAGCTATAGAATGTATATATCAGAAGTCAAGGCGTTACTGTAATTGAAGAAAACTCTATTGAAACTGTAATTAATTTCTCTCCCCTTTACTTTTTCACAATAAAAAAATTCCAGTTAATGCGTTACTGTCATTGAAGAAAACATTGGGGCTTCCTGTTCGGTTGGGGTGGAATGGTGATCCATGTGTTCCCCAACAACATCCATGGAGTGGAGCCGATTGCCAGTTTGATAGAACAAGCAACAAATGGGTCATTGACGGACTGTAATTTCTTGATCCTTAACCTCATTTCTTTTCTCTTATTTGATCTTATTTCTCATTTATAGTACAAATGCATTTATGCTTCACATTGCTCTTGTTCTTCAGTTTCTAGTCTCTTTATTTTTTAACTGCTAGATGTGCAAACATCAGACAATAAAAAGATATGCAAACAACTTTGCTTTCTAATATTTAAAAGGCTGATGAATGCAAGTCTGAATAGTGTGGATCTTCAGACAACCATAAGCATGACAGGTTTTATACCAGTTGATATATTCTGTTACCTTTCTGAGATTCATTTACAAGGAAATCGTTATCGTATTGATTTAAATTCTTTGTTGCCTTATGAAAGTATGTTTATTTCGTACTGTATACCTTCAAATTCGAAGTACACAAGGTGTTAAAAGTAAGCCAGTTTGGCCCACTGAGCATCAAGTTTAGCCCTTGGCATTTAATATCGAGTTTTATGTATCTTCAAAACTACCTTCCTCAGTTCCTATTGTTCTTTGCTGTGAACAAGTAGCTTTTTTTTTTTACTCCTGTTGGACTTGGCAAAGAACAAGGAATAAATGCATTGGAACAAATATCATATACTTAGTTGCTTATTTCACAGGGGAAGTATCTGGCCAACTATGACATCATGTACTGAACCAATGCGTGTTGCACTATGTATTTCACTGCATCGTGTTAATTTAGCTATGGCATTTCATGATGACATCTTATGCCCCCTCGTTATTTAGTCTTGACCCATTCCCTATATTTGTGTCCTAAATTTCTAATGGCTTCTCGTCAGCCGAGTTAATGTTTAATTCTCTATTGTTTCAGTTATTTCTCTAGAGGAGGCTTTTTGGCCTTTTCTATTTGACTTTTGAGAGCCATAACAATTGATAACTCTGTGGGTGAAAATCATCCAGTCTTCATGAATGTAGTCCTGATGTGCTTCAGCCACTTGAATTGTGTCCATTTGGCATAATCTTTAGTCTTCTTTCGCTACCATAATTTATTCATTTCACTGATTCCTTCTCATCAGACAAGTCACAAGAATATTTGTTTCAACAAATCGGAATCTTAGCACTTTTTATGTTCCAGCACGACCCACTACATAAGTCCATTGTTAATCTGTGTATGCATGGGTGAATGGAACGGAAATGCATTTTCAGATTAGCTAGATTTGTATGCAAAAGAAATACCTTTCAGTGCAGTGTTAAGAATTATTCTCATAATGCCTGAAGAAAGCACCTTAGCATTTGTTTGTTCCATTGCCATTCGTACATCCTTTTGGCAATGAGTGTTAAACTCTGCATGCACAGGGCTCTGGACAACCAAGGGCTGAAGGGATTCTTGCTGAATGACATATCCAAATTACGTCATCTACAAAGCATGTGAGTTCCTCTCTAAGACTTGCTTTGAATAAAAATTTAAACTTTCTTAGCTTCTGTTTGGCATCGTTGTTTTTTTATTCAACTTGACATGCTAAACTTCGATGAAATGGTCCTCTTTGCATAAAGTGAGACAACTAGGCATTAGAAGTGTTTTACAGCCTTTTCAACACATGTTTTGTTTTACCTTGTGGACTCACAGAAATTTGAGCGGAAATAGCATGCAAGGGCCCATTCCTTCCTCACTTGGAAAGATAACAAGCTTAGAAGTATTGTAAGTGCAGCTCATATATTCTCTTATCAGAAAGTGTTAATGTTTTATTTATTTATTTTTCCTGGGCAGCGTATCCAAGGGTTGTGGTTACCACAGTTCAATTCCATAATTAAAAACACTCATCCTCCTTCCTTTGCAGGGACTTGTCTTTCAATTCCTTGAACGGGTCAATTCCTGAAACGCTTGGACAGTTGACCTCGTTGCAAACACTGTAAGACATATTATAACGCCACTTACAGTTGTATGAAACCAAAATGCGTAGGAAGAAGACTCTTAACTTAAGTTGTCATGTTGCAGTAATGTCAATGGCAATTCTCTGTCCGGAAAGGTCCCAGCTGCACTAGGAGGCAGGCTTTTGCACAGAGCAAGCTTCAAGTAAGAATTAAACACGCACAACCTGCACGCTTTTTGGGCTTTTGCATATGTTAACATAAATAGAAATGTATGTATACTGATCCTGAACTCCACCTTTGGTTTTGGTTCAGTTTCACAGATAACCGGACTCTGCGGTATACCGGGACTACCTACGTGTGGGCCACACCTCACTGCCGGAGCAAAGATTGGAATTGGGTTTGGTGTTTTGGCTGCCTTCCTACTTCTCGTTATCGGTTCGATATGCTGTTGGAAAAGGCGGCAGAACATCCTTAGAGTACAACAAATTGCAGGTAAGGATGTTCAATCTCTTAAGCAAAATCCGACTGCATAAGACGGTCCTCGAAATTACATTACTTCCTTGCATGTTACGTTACAACTACTGGAAGGGTTTGGAGAAGCTCCGTACACTAATGTTTTCTCAAATTCTGATCTGGCTTGTGCAGCAAGAGAAGCTCCGTATGCAAAGGCGAGGACGCATTTGTCACGTGACATCCAGATGAACAGGCAGTACAATCATCACGGCCAATCTAGAACGGCAGCAGAGACTGGGCCTATTTTGCTTACATGATTAGAGACAACGTTCGGCCCAGGGCCCAATATAGTTGAAGATTATGATCTGTTTACAGAAAGATCATCCCCCGTGGGATTGCCATACATGCTGTAGAAGAGAGGGAAAAGAAAAAAACTTGTACATTTGGTCCAATTATTTTCTTTCTTTTCAGTTTTGGTAAAGATTTTTAACAGATAGCGGAAGTGATGCATATAGAATGTAGAATACTAAATTAGACTTATAAGGAATTGTTCAACGTTTGAATGTCACACATTCAGGTTTTGAGGATCGTCGTGCACAAAAAACTTACTCTCAACGGGGTGGTACGTGTTTGTGTCTTTTTCTCTCCCACAACGTTGGTATACCAAAGTAAACGAGAGAACTTGTATGAAAGATATGTACAATCCATACCCAGTATTAGAGAAGAATTTATATAATATGAATGTCATGTTGACAGTATTTCAAGTCAATCAGATCAGGTTGACAGTGTTTCAAATCCATCACATAAAGGACAATGGTAAATTGCAAAGCTCTGCAAATTGCCAATTACATTAACCGCTTGTTGCTAATACTGAACTACCCTAGTAAATCCATACATACGTAAATCCTTTCGACTTAAAATTATGATATAACCTAGCGCTGATGATGAGAGTAGTCATTCTTCTCCTAAACTTCTTGCACACAATAAGCACATTCCACTACCACCACACGCGTCAACCCTCCAAAATTCAGAAGTCGAAAACGATATTTAACAAAATAACTAAAAAAATAGCTCAGGTTCCCGTGAATTGCTTACGGAGGATGAGAGCTTTAGTCCTTTACTGGTTTACCAACCGTAATATTACCTCCATTAGTTATCTGTACGTTGGGTCAGCAGTCAGTGGGTCAGTGGTCGCACACCCGCACCCTAACCCTAAAACACAGTCAAACACGCCATTGACGCAAGCCTACCCAGCAGCTGCCCATCTCAGAAACCCGCCCCAAACTCAATTCAACGGGTCGACCCAACTCGCCCTCTGTCTCCTCCAACTCAGACACCGCCTCTATACCCGCCACGTGTCCCCTCTCCTCACTACCAAACAACCCCTTCTATCCAATCCACTATCCGATACGCCACCCCGGGCCCCACTTCACTATTTTCTTTCCCAAATAATAATAAACAAATAAAAACGATAAAAATGGCAGGCGCCGCGGAGCCTGACCACACCGCCGTACAATATCTGTAGGGCTTACATCACCGCGCCACACGAACCCACACGTCTGCTCAGGCGGCGGCACGCTTTACTATTGGGCCCCACGCACCCTCCTCACGTGCAACGCTCTCTCGCGCTCACACCACAACCGTTCGATCGCACATGACCCCAAATCTCCAATCCTGATACCAATCCAACGGCCCAAGTAATTAACAAATATAAATAAACCGCATAATCCAATCAAAACAATCGGTATATATATATATACGTTGGATGGAGCCGTGCCGTCCAGCCGAAGATTACGGGTGTCTGAGTGGGACCCCCTATTTTTCACTTTCCACAGCCATTCAACTTCTCTCAAAGCCCCCAATCTCTCACACTTTCTCACTCTCTCTCTCCCTCTCTCTCTCTCTCTCTCTTCTTTCTCTATCTAGATCTTTCCATGGCGACTGCAGCTGCTCCGTCTTCCTCCCGCGAGGGCCACTACCGGGGCGTTAGGAAGCGGCCGTGGGGCCGGTACGCAGCAGAAATCCGGGACCCGTGGAAGAAGACGAGGGTCTGGCTAGGCACATTCGACACGCCGGAGGAAGCCGCCCTAGCATACGACGGCGCCGCCAGGACGCTCCGTGGGGCCAAGGCCAAGACCAATTTTCCTGCGCCGATCCCCAGCGGCATCTCCCTCGACCTCAACGCTCCTTCGGCCACCCACTGGGCCTCCCACTCCGGCCGCCTCGTCGAGTTCCTCCACACCGGCGTCCTCAACGACATGGGCGGCGATGGGGCAACGACTGATACGCCGCCGTTGATGGCGAGGAGGGAACCACAGCAAACTCCGGTTGGTGTAGCGGGAAATGCCCCCGCCGGCGGCAGTAATGATACGGTCCCGGAAGGTTCGGGTTTCGGCAGTACGGCGTTGTTTCTAGGACTGGTCCGACGTGGTTTGCCTATTGATCTCAATGAACCACCTCCCATGTGGCTGTGAAGAGAAGCACTATTCGTTACGCCGCCGTTCTGTGTTTTTCCTTCTCACCGTTCGTTGTAATTCTCTCTCTCGCCATAATCTTTCTTTTTATTTTTAGTATTTCACTAATTATCTAAAGAAAATCTTCACTGTTATGTTTCGGATGTATGAAGACGGTAAAATTTGAGAGGCTTTTTTGTATATATATTTCCATTTTTTTTTTAATTTATGAGTTAGAACTGTCATCTGGTTTTTCCAGTGCGTGTGGGATCGTCTGTTTCCGATAATCTGAGCAGTGAGCAGCCCCATGAAATTTGAAGGGAAAAATAGACCCACTTGCAGTTTGGGGCGCGTGGGCGTTGAGAATGTCCATGTCTGTCCCGACATGACGAATGCAGTAACCCTAATTATTAATTAAACTAGTTTAATTAAGTTCTTCATATCTGTCATACAACCTCTCGACTCACCTTGCATGATTATTAATTTTCTTACGTACTATACGTAACTGTAGGGTTTATTTTGCAAAGAATTTATAATTGAAGTGGTAAACTTTTATTTATTTATGCAGTCGAGTTTCTGTGTTGATTTTTCGTTTTCTCATATCCCTGTATACGTGCAACAAATGGAATATTGATGGGCATCGGTATATTGTTTGTCTCGTTACCAATTTTCTCAAATGAGTAATGCTACGAATATTATATATTGTAAACTAAATTATATGTAAGTTGATGATTGAATTATTACTTAAACGTTGATAATCGGATAAGCTTGCTCATTTGATAACACATCATTTAGTTTGCAAATTTTAATCTATGTACTTAGTCTCCTTAGCATTACTTTTTCCCAAATATAATTTTTGTATGTCATGCCATAAGTAAACATAAGAGCTAATGTAGTGGCTAAACTTTGATGATGAGTATCATAATAGTTGTAGTTGATTTTAATAATTTCCTAGTGTAATGCAAAATACATGGATCGTGACTACATACTTGTTAAGATCCGTAAACCTGGACCATCATTCACTATAATTCGAGATTGTGATTGTGATTTGTAGAAATTATTGTAGGGCCTTATCAATAAAATGGCCGCGTTCTTCACGTGGGTGATGTTGCCGGCCGGGTTCGGGTCCCTTTCTCTTCTCTCTTTTTCTATCCTCTGGGAATCATCTACTGTCCATCTCTTTCCACCCAGCCAATATTTGAAAAATAATATTATTTATTTATTGACTAATATACAAAACATTGATTAAAATGTTAATGATAAAAAAAAAAAAAAAATTCATATGCATTATATATCAATTTCAACCTAGTGAGTGACAACCCTTGGAGTTTTCCTTTCCAGATGTATTCTATAAAATGATTCTTGATCACAAATCTCGAACCAGTCGCGAAAGACAAATTTATAATTACATATATGCATGACACCACATAGTAATTTTGATGGATATTAGGGTTGGTATTTAAGACGTTTAAAGTGGGAAAAATGAATCCTCAAAGATACACGATTAAGCAGAGGTTACATATGATGATCGGTTGGTCTGAAGTTCAACTTAAAGAGTAAAGTAAAGTGAGTTAGATCTTTGTTATAATTCTTGTGTAACTTGATAGATTAGACAAGAGCATAACTGTAATTGGTGTATTGCTTATATATATTGAAGCACCATTGTAATTTTATTACACTGAATGAAACAATTGAGGCATATTCAGAAACTGTGTGTTCTTAGAATTCTACATGGTACCATCGCCAACCGCCTCACGGCTTCTTCGATCCTACTGCATCCTTCTTCTTTGATGTTCCGCTCTTCTCCAATTTTCTTCTCCGGTGTGTTGATTGAGTAATTGTTTTACTTCGATTCGGATTTTCGACTTGTTAACCTTGAATCTTGATGGCTTCTTCGTTCGATTCCTCTTCTCCGATTGAGTCGGTGCTTCCCCGCAAACCCTAACTTTTCTTCCTCAAATCCCAATCTTTCTCAGTCGTATATACTTCTCTCATGATCCAGAATATTAGCAGTATGGTTTCGATCCAGCTTCGGCGGTCCAATTACCTGCCATGGCGTGCTTTATTTGCACCAATCCTTCGTTGTTTCAAGCTCATTGGTATCTTCGATGACACTAACCTTGTCCATCGGCCTTTCTCCCTGATCGCTTGCTAAATCTAGCCTTCGAGTACTGGTACGAGAATGATTAAAATCTGCTCATCTGGTTCAACTCGACTCTCTTTGAGGAAGTCATTTCGTTCACTGTTGGTGTCTCCTCTACTCGTGATCTCTGGCTCAAACTTGAGCAGTGATTTGGGGGTGTCTCGGATGCACATATTCATCAATTGCGTTCGCAGCTTTAGAATATTTAGAAAGGCTCTCAGTCAATGTCTGATTATCTTCAGTAAATCGAGGAGATCTCTGATTCCCTTATTGCTGTTGGAGCCTTTATCACTGATCGTGATCTCATTGCAACAACTCTTACTGGTCTTCCTGATGATTTTGAATCATTCACTGATTCCATATTACTTCGTCTTTTGTCCACTTCTTTGGATGAATTCTTGTTGCTTACTGAGGAACTATCCATGGCGCGTCGCAAGAAAACTTCATCCTCTGAGCCTTTTCAGGCGTTCTCTGTGCAAGCCGAACCGCCACTCTTTCCCACACCACCACAAGCTCTTGCTGCTCATAATCATGGAACTCAACCACCTCAGCATTCATTCCAGTATAATTATAACAAAGGAAGGCATAATCGTGGTCCAAATCGTGGTTTTCGAGGTTCCAATCATGGCAACCATAACTCTGGTTATAATCGTGGCACTTATAATTCTGGATTCAATCGTAATGCTTCTTCTTCTTGTTACAAATCTCCATGTCAAATCTGTGGATCTCACAGTTATGAAAATATTGATTGCTTCGATCGAATGAACCCAGAGATCTCAGGTAAAGTCCCTCAAGCTGAAATTGCTACCATATGTGCCCATTACACTGCTAAGCCATCACATTGTTGGCTCATTGACTCAGGTGCTACGTCTCACATTACAAATGATATCTCCAATATCCAGTCTCCTACTCTTTACAATGGTGAAGATAAGGTGTACATGAGAGATGGTAAAGGTCCGTCTATAGATCATGTTGGCACATCTATTTTGCATACTCTTGCTCATTCCTTTAAATTGCAAAATGTTCTTCATGTGCCTTAAATGCAACATAGTCTACTTTCTGCCAATCAATTTATCAAGGATAATGATTCTTCATTAACCCTTGATATTCATGGATCCTCTGTCAACGATCATTTTATGGGGATGACGCTTTTGCAGGGACAAGTTAAAGATGGTTTCTTTCCTCTTCAAAGTTCATCTTTTCCCTACAAAACTACTCCTTCCACTCATGCTGCACTAGTATGTACTTCTGCCAATGTCAAAATCTGGCACATCCGGCTTGAACATCCATCTTCTATTATATTTCGTAAAGATTTTTCGACAAATAAAGTTGTTGTACAAGGCAAATCCTCTCTGGACTTCTTCTGCAATGGTTGTGCTCTAGCAAAGAATCACAAGCTTCCATTTGGTGCTCCTCGATCTGTGTCTACTAGAAGTTTTGAATTGTTGCATTGTGATGTCTGGGGGCCAGCTCATGTTGTTTCAATGAGTGGCTATAGGTATTATTTGCTTATTGTTGATCATTATAGCTGGTATTTTCCCTTAAAGTCTAAGTCTTCTGTATTTTCAATAATTGTGGAGTACAAGTCATATGTAGGGAATACTCTTGGAAATAAAATCAAGATTGTTTGATCTGCTTCAGGGAATAAGTTTACTAGTTATCAATTTCAGAATTTTCTTAAACTTCATGGCATTTTACAACAATTTAGTTGCCCTCATACTCCGGAGCAAAATGGATGTGTTGAAATGAAGCATCGTCACTTGGTTCAAACTGCACGAACATTATTGGTTGCATCTAGAGTTCCTCATGTGTTTTAGGTTAAAGCATTTTCCACTGCTACTTATTTGATTAATCGGCTTCCTCTTGGTGGCTTATTGCAATCTCCTTGGGAACTTCTTTTTTGTACCCTTCCATATTACTTTCGGCTTAAAAATTTTGGTTGTGGATGTTTTCCTTGGCGCAAGCCATACACTTCATCCAAGCTGGACAACAAGAGTAAACAATGTGTATTTTTAGGGTATAGTTTTCAACATAAGGGGTATCGTTGCCTTGATCCAGTTACACAAAGAATCTACATATCAAGGCATGTGCTATTTGATTAACCTAATTTTCCATTTCCATTTCATTCTATATCAACTCTAACAAGTTCTTCTAATGGTTCTTCATCAGTGAATCCCAATGTCACTTTACAATTTACTATACCTATTGCTCATCATGCACCTATTGCCCAACCTACCACTTGCAATGTACATGATGCACATCATATTTCTCCTACATCTTTAGGTTCACAATCTGTCCCTTTGGATGCTCGTCATTCCCACGCACCTCCTATAGTCTCTCAACCTCCAGTTTTACCTGCAACACCTAATATACATCATATGATCACCAGATCTAAGGCTGGAATCTCTAAACCAAAAGCCTACTAAGCATCATTTACCTGAATTTGTTGATTTTATCCCCACTACTTATCTTCAGGCTTCGAAACATGCTCATTGGATATCTGCTATGAAGGATGAGTACAATGCCTTGCCGTACCTTTTAAACCTCATCAGAACATAGTTGGATGTAAGTGGGTTTTTCGAGTTAAGAAACATCTAGATGGGTCTATTGATTGATATGAAGCTCGACTTATGGCCAAAGGTTTTCATCAGCAAGCTGGTTTGGATTACAAAGAAAGGTTTAGTCATGTAGCAAAGCCAGTAACAATTCGAATTTTTCTTTCTTTAGCAGTTCAATACGATTGGTTTCTCAACCGATTGGACATCAGTAATGCATTTCTGCATGAGGATTTTCAGGAAGACGTAATATGCACCAACCACCTGGTTTCAATGTTCCTAAGTACCCCAATCATGTCTGCAAACTTTGAAAATCTTTGTATGGCTTGAAACAAGCCCTTCGGGCCTGGTTTGACAAATTATTTGCAGTTCTCAAATCTTTGGGACTTCATCATTCAGAATCTGATGCTTCTTTATTTGTGCTCAAATCACGTGTTCTTGTTATTGTCTTGGTGTATGTCGATGACATACTTGTCACAGGTCCTAATCCTGCAACTTGTTAACAATTTATTCAGAAATTGGGCACTGCATTTCCTGTGAAGGATTTGGGACCCTTGCATTATTTCTTGGGTCTTAAGGTTCAAAGATCTTCTGCAGGTATCTTCTTACATCAAAGTAAGTACCTTCTTAACTTGCTTCAAAAGACACATATGGAATGTGTTAAATCGTGTCTCACTCCTATTGGTTCCCTCAAACTTGATCACACAGGCCCTTTGTTAACTGATCCAAAAGTGTACAGGTC